TATCTAAAGGGTATGAAGGCACACTTACTCAAATGTAGTAACTGCTGAAAATTCAAAGTGAGGAAGAAAAAGAGTATACAACAGAAAAGAGGCCAAGCACTCACCTTTCTGTGAAGTCTTGATGGGTCATCCTAGTTGGATAGCCAGCTCTTGAAATCCTCACGACTTCTAGAATCCCGCAACACTGAAGCTGCTTTAACACAAGATCTTTCTCAAACAGCCCAGGAAGCTTCTGGTTGTTTGGCTTTATGCAGCGAATGAAATGTGGAGAAGTGTTTTCCAACTGCCGCATTAATTGGAACAACTGACCCTGCAAAACAAAGGCGAAACTTATCTAAAAATTTGCTAATGAACAAATACAAAGACCAGCTGCTATATCTCTCATACAATGTACACTCTACAGTACCCATTGAGGATTGAAAAAAGAAATCAAACTCTTTACTTTGAATTTCATAGCAACACTTTGTCTCTGAACATCTGGCACTGCAAACTTGTTGGGCAAACTTGATTTCTGGAATTGGTTAAGCACTCTACAGGTAAACAACTGAAGTAGTTCAGATTGGCATGAGGAGAGTAGCTGAATAATATCTGTATGCAGAAGATCTCTGTTCTTTTCCAGGAAACCACTGGTGCTATAGAGAACCTGAAGAAAACACAGGAAACATTAGAATTGTCCTGAAATCCTTAAATTAAACCTCCGATGTTTTCATTGTTTAAACATCATAACCAGCTATTCCATATCAGATTACTCAATTTTTTCTGCTGTGTGGAACTTGTATATGTAGATGTTTGAAATTCCTACATTAGTGAAATGCATTTTTTTTGTAATCTTTCCAGTGCCAAAGATACTCTTACAGTATACATGAAAATAACTGCAATCCTGAACTAATGCCCAAATAATTAAATGGAGAAGTTATAGATGAAGTGAAACTATCAATAGCACAACTTTTATTAGTAGACTGCAGAAGTTGAAAACACAACCAAGTGGAGGCTTCCTACAACACGTTTTATATACATTCAAAATATAACAAGAATTAGAAAAATCTAACCTCGCCAGCATAGTGCTTAATACTGAAAACTGATCCTCTTTCACCTTTTAAGCACGAATTTGTTTTCAAGTGCTCTTTAACTTTATTGGCAAATGTTAAATCCGTCGCTTTAGGGAAATTTGACTCTTCATCAAGCAAAGCAATTAGCCCAATTGGTCTCTACAAGAAGCCCAAATAAACCTCAACTTAGCATATTTTTCCCAAATCATTAGCTAAATGAACTGATACAGTGATACCCCATGGCCCATGTCCCCTTCCTGGAGTAGACTGACAGTTAAGAAAGTAACAGTTTTCTAAATATATGTTTTGCCATGTAGAACATAAAGAACAGATGAACTTTATTTGAAAGGAGCACTGGATTTTCTAATTTTTCCAAAACTGCAAACTCAAAGGTTATGGGCATATAGTTAAGGTTTATTAGTTGAAAGCAAATTCTCCCTCCGTGCTACTATTTTTGGGCCATGAGAGAGTAACAAGGAATTACGAAAAATAAAATTTTGTGATTGATAAAGTAAGATAAGGTAAGAATGAATATCAACTACACAAATATCACCCAATATGTTATGAGACGAAATTAGTGTAATGGACAAATAGGGTAAAACAACAACCCTGTCGAATCCCGCAGTCTAGGGAGGGTGTGTACATAGACCTTACCCCTACTTGAAAGTACAGAAGTTGTTTCAAAAACAGACCCCATAGAAAGCTTGGAATGCACAGAATGCAAAGAGCACGACAAAATAAGCACCTAGCAAGTAAAAGGAATGGAAAGAAAAACACGAAAAAATGAAAACCACCACACAAAGAAGCACACAATAACAAGTTTTTTCCCTCTCCATTCCCTTAACTTGTTATGTGCTTCTTTTGATGTGCTTTGTGCTTTCTATGCTTTTTGTGCAGTTTGTGTTTCTCGAGCTGGGGTCTGTCTCTTGGAAACAACTTCTCTACTTTCGAGTTGTTATTTTAAATCAACAGGTAATATTATCTAGAGATCCAGTGTAAGTATTAAATAGATAATCAATATAATAGGCAACTGAATACAAGTAATACCTGTTCAATGAGATTCAAACAATCTTGGTTGTCTTCAAATTGAACCTTTCTCCAGTCAATTCCATCCAACTCATATCCCTAAAATAAAACAAGTAGTGTTGGTGTCACTGTGTCCCCATTATAAATTATAACATACTGATCATTTACTTGTTTAGCCTATATGATCCTATAAGCTTCGGGTAAAAAAGTCTCTACTTATAAACAAAGAAAGCTATTGTTGGAAAGTAATAAGTGTTGATACTCTGTAAGAGACACATGTTGAGCATATATATTGTGTGTGTTTGTGTGTGTGTGTGTGTGCGCGCGCGCGTGTGTGTGTGTGCCTGTGTGTGTATATATGTATGTATGTGTGTGTGTGTGTGATGATATGCAACACCTGTATAATGTTGCTACAGCCTTAAGTGTCTCACCTAGGTGTCCAATTGAGTAGTATAAAAGATATTTCTGTGTGTAACTTAGGAGCACCCAATGTTATTAGCCATGAAAAATATTCTCATTCAATCTAACTATTCCTTCCCAGAACACCAGACATTTAGGTTGTCTATCAGGAATTTCATATATTTCCTAAAGATCGTGTGGAATCTTATTCCAGAATTTTGTTGCATTCATATTTTATGGTTGATTTCTAGAATTTGTTTTTCTTGTGAGATTCCCTCGTCTTCCCAAACAATAAAAATATTGTGGATGACAATGAGACTCAAAATAGCTCTCATATCATCAAAGCCCAAACTATCACGTTAAGAGTAATTTTGCTGCAAGGATGGCTACCTAGCATTTAAGCCAATTATACATTAAATGGAATAATCAATCATTTACTTCATAACGACCCTCAAATGGGTCAAGAAAAATAAACTATGTGACGCATGGAAATATGAAATAAAGAAATGGCTTTGGAACTCCATGCCAATAGAAATTGGTGATGCCTGCATGCTACTTAAGTCTTAACATATCCCAGGAAATTTTGGGGGGTCAAGTTGGGGGGATTATGCTATAGAACATAAATATTAAATGTTCATGACACAATATTGGGAATGAAATGTATTCATTCAATATTTCTTCCATTATATGAATGAAAAAGCCACAATTGTTCCTTAAGTCAGTCTTCAAGTCTTTTAAGGAGGACCCAACACTCAGATACAGCTTGGCATTATAAAATCAGGTTAGGGCTAGGGTATTTAGCATGAGTTCAGCTTCAACCAGCAGATTATGTTCTCTTCAGGGACACAAATAAAGTGAAAATGAGGAGAAAACTAAATTAGCACAGAAAAAGTATGCTTGCCTCTTGCTCAAGTTTAAGTAGATGACGATTGAAATGTTGCTGAAGCCTCTCATTTGCATAGTTTATGCAGAACTGTTCAAACCCATTACTCTGTGGACAAATATGAAGCCAATAACAGAAGTGTGAGTTGATAACCGTTAGAGCATAAAGACAAAGAAAACAATTTTACTTATTTACCTTAAATGATTCAAAACCATATATGTCTAAAATATTTATGGATCTGCAAGTATGCTGCTTTCCCATAGCAAGTGATGTATTTATCCTATCTACAACCCATCCAAACAAGCTCCCATATATGAATTTAGCCAGTGCATCTCTCGTATCAATTGCCTAAAATAAGTTTACAAGCAATGTATGTGTTATATGTTGATTAGCAGCCTATAAGACTAGTAACGCTGACGTCAGAGCAGAAGTAGATAATCTCATAACATCCATTCGGGGAATTTTCCAAGAAACACTCCATATATATAATTCTGCAAGTGTAAGCAGATAACAACTTCACATACCTGCTGGATTGAAAATCTCTTGGAAACCTCATCCTTGCCAGCATGTATTCTTTGCATTGATAAAGCTAGCATGAGATCATGGGCACTGCAACCCATCAAGCTAGCAGCATTAGTAACAGCTGAAAATAAATGGAATATATTAGATTTGACACCTTCAAGTAGGCATCCAGACCATGAACAAGATAAGAACTGGGTACATCTTAACTCAAAGGGTATAATATGTCCTTCTCTCATCTTATAAAGTATAAAATCCTACTCCGTATTTAATTTCCTTTCCATCGTAATGGAAAGATAATTAGTATAAATATTAGATTATTCATTCATATTAACTTGATTTTTTTTCCAATTTTAATAAGAATAAATTTGTGATGCTGATAAGGTAAGTGGGAAGATATTTTCCAGTCTGCGAGACCCTTGATGTATTACTGCCCAAAACATCATAGAACTTAAGAAGCAAAGGAAGCGTACTATGCCATTTTAATTTAGTTCATTATTTTCCCCAATGCAAAAACAACCTTTGAAAAGTTACTCTTTTAAAATATTTGAAAAACCGGAACGGATTTGGTGTCCGCTTGGTTCAATCTGGTTTCAATTAGCATGAAGCTAATACTGATCGAATACATTCAACTGGACCAGATCTATCCCCGTTCATTAATTTCCAGTTCTGATAGTCCGGTCCAGTCCGTTTTTTGGAACCCTGAGTACAACACTACAACTCTTCTAGGTTATCCATCATACTAATGTTTTATTTTCAGCGTGTTTCTTGAGTTGACTAAATTTATCACATACATATAAACCATTTGGGACTATTATGGAAACAAGACACAATTTTTCAATTAAGAATTTTCCCCAATGTAAAAACAAGACACAAGACAATTATTTGGGACAAACAAAAGTTTTTGAACCGCGACAATTATTTTTCTTTTGGTGAAAAAAGATGCAACCAAACAATGGTACATGTGAAATGCATAAGCGGATACTTGAGTCCCCCTAACCAAACCAGCCATAAATAATTTAATACAGAGTATAATGGAATACCTTCATTAGCCACGGGTTGAACATGGTTTTCATCGTCAATCACTTCAAATGAAATGTTTCCTAGCCATAAAACTGCAGATATCATCTCAAAAGCATGTATTTGATCTCTTTGACAAATCTTGAGTTTGTTTAGTGCTTCCTGGTAGAGCATTAGCACCAATTAGTTGTACAATAGATCAGTGGATCTTTAAAAAAGAAGCTAACACTGTTTGGTTCAAGGAATTAGGAAGGAAAAAAAGGATATGGTTTTCTCTCATTTTCTCAAAAAAATGAGAAGAATTTTGTTTCCCCTCATCTTTAGTTCATTTTGCCTTCTCATTTCATCCCCTTTTCTTTTCCTCTCTAACCAAATAAGAAGAATGGTTTTCCATCTCATTTTCTTTTCTTTTCCCTTTCAAATTCCTTGAACCAAACATAGCGTAAATGATAAAGGATGTATCTATTTTAATCCAATAGATCACCATGAGAATTTTGAACTTATGAGCATCATCAACGCCACTTATAACGAAACAGCCACTTTGTTTAAGATAGTTGAACTCAGATGCATCTTTTAAATTCAACTTGTCTGCAAAAACATCAGAGCAGGTTACAAATAAGCATAAACAACAACCCTGTAAAATCCTAAATCAGGTGGGATCTTGGGGTCAAGATGTACGCAGCATTAGCCCTGAGATTTCCATTTGCAGCAATGCTGCATTTACTACACAAGACATCATAGAAAGTAGGAAACAATGAAAGTTTTATGCTCCATTTTGATGTACTTGATTATTTACCCGAAGTTAACAACAACCTAGTATAATCTCAACTCGGTTGGGGTTTGGGGGTCAAGATGTACGCATACTTACCCCTGTAAACAAGAGAGGTTGTTTCTGTTACACCCTAGAAACATTGCTGCATTTAATTCCCAGAGCTTCATAGAAAGTAAGAGGCAACGGAAGTTTATTGTGACTTTTATATGTAGTCCATTATTTTCCCGAAACTAAAGTGTTGTACATGATTACTCTTTTAGCTCCATTGGCAATGGACATCATTGTAATTAAGGATAAGGTATAAAAAGATTAATGTTTTTTGTTCATTTGAGAGTGAAACATCACAAAGATATCTTCATATGGCTTGTCAATTAATCCTTGACTCCCAACATCCAGCTAATGACTAACTTCAATGAAAATAGAAGAGAAGAACAAGTAGTGGAACCTGGATACATACCAAACCTTTTCTTACCTGTCAAAGTAACTGAATGGAAACATCGTACCTCTTAGACCTGAAGGAGCCCCAGCACAAAGCTGGTAGAAGATATGGTATGACCTTTCTCCACGTGCCAGTTGAACCACTCTTGACTGCATTTAGAGATCAAGGAATTTTACTTGTTATAGGTTGAGTTTCCGCACAAAGATGGTAGAAATATATAGATTTAAATATATGAGGTAGAGAAGAGTGAAAAATATCTACCTTTTCAAGAAGAACTGCTCATTTTTTTGGGCATCAAGTTGTTTGGAATAGAAAAGATTATTTAAAAAAAAGGCGAGACCCATGATTAGGACCTGTATCTAAGAATGAAGTTTCTCATCCAACTTGTAGATATATGCATGCTTACAAGTATTTAGTTTGGCCCCACATATTTTTCCAGCTGCACTAAAATGAATTTCAGTCAATTTTCCCTACAAAACAATAGAAGCAAATGTAACAATAGCTGAAAATGTGGAAATGAAAAACAAACATTCAAAAACCTCACTAGCATAGGCTCCTACTCTCAGATGTCACTTACAAAACGACTGGAGTTGTCATTCCTGGATGTTTTTGCATTTCCAAATGCCTCTAATATACAGTTTGTCTGCATCACTTCATACTCTATCCCACTGCTTCCTCCACCAAGAGCAGCCAAGTATTGCATAATAAATTTTGCTGTTTCTGTTTTTCCTGACCCACTTTCCCCGCTTCAGGATAGAAAAGAAGTTAGCGCAGTTTCTAAAACACAAAATTAGAACTAAACTAACATTACTCATGCAAATCAGGAGATAATGGGTCCGGCATTGTTAGTATTAGGCTGCGTTCCGTTCAACTTATTTTTCAGCTTATAACTTATTCTCATTAAAATCAGATTAGACTAGATCAGAATACAAACAACTTTAAATAGACTAACTACAATCAGATCAGAAGATCAGATCAGGCGAATGGAACGCAACCTTATATTAGTCAATCAGCCTCCACTTTAGATAAAGTAAAGCAAAGAAGACTTAACAAACCTGATGATGATAGACTGGTTCATCCCACCTACATGGTTTGTAAAAAAGAAGAAATAAGCAATGTGACATTTTCAGCCAAAGTATAGTAGAAGATTGTGTTAGAATATAAGAAACATATCCTGGGCCACAACCATAAGCTTGAGCTTTTGGTTGAGTTGGTTTCTTGACATGGTATCAAAGCCCAGGAAATGTTTCTTATATTCTAACATATTGATAAAATTGAATTTCGGCATTTTGTAGACACCTTCCATCATTTCATTATAGGCAGTGTCAGCAGTAGCATACACGTGAGGATTATCCACTAGCTTCTTCCTGTAAGCTGTAACATATGCATCCCCACACACTTGGACATCATTGAAAGGATTGATCGCTATTAAAACTGGACCAGCTTTAGTCTGTGAACAGGGAGAGCATACATAATAAGAGAAGCAAAAGAAGTGAGGAATCTACAAAGAATACGTATTACATACATATATTTCTTGACGAGAGTATCTGGTTTGCAAGTTGTGAAGAACTGATGGCTCATTAAGATGACTGAGTTGAATGAGATCATCAACTCCCTCAAGATTGTCCGGATTTGCAGGTAAGAGGTCTGGTTTGGGAACTGTCACACTCTACAACATCAAAGAAGTCTAACAAAAATATTTGAATGATATATGCCATAAAATTGGACAGTTTAGAATAAGAAATAAGTAGGATAGATGAACTCACACTTTCATCTGAAAGAATTACAACATATTTCCCTCCTGAATTTGATTGTATCTGCCCTAATTCCCACTTCCCATTTTGTAGGTGACACCAAATACGAAGTTTCTGAAAACAAATGCTACAAGTTCAAATATTCAGATCCCAATTGACTGTGTGTGTGTGTCAGTGTGATAAATTTTTGAATGACGAGTTACATGTTTAGGAATATCGTATCATATCATCCAGAAAATTCTGATTTAGCACATTACTCTATCCCAGAGAAAATTTGAACATCAGTTAAAGAAGTTATTGAAGAAATGGGTCCATGGGTATATCAGTGTATGCGATCAAGAGAGTTTTTTTAAACCATAAAAGAAACATACAACAACAACAACAGCAGCAGCAGCAGCACATTGAGATGACTCTTTTACAAAGTAAACATTCATACTTTGTGGAAACCTTAGTTGCAATAGATTCCTATTTTTTATCGCAACTAACATCACACATTGATTTTAATCACTTTCAACAATCGAAATAGGAAATATGATTCTGGGTTGCGTGTAGTTGACAAAATGCACATTCCTCAAACAAAATGCAACAAAGAAAGTTTCGGTGAGAAGAAGAAGAATAGACTATCAATTCATGCTTATGAATAGTAAACACTAGTTTGATCATGTGAATAATGAATATGAAGTTTAATTAAGGACAGAGAAAGTAATGAGTTATAAGATGCCCCTTTCGAAAATTCCAACTTGTATTGCAATTTGCACGACAAGTTTGAGAAAGTCGTAATGAGGATGATGAAAAATAAATTCAAAGGTTTCACCAATTTTGATTTCTCAATCAAGAAGAAGAACGATGAAGAAACAAAAGAAAGACCAACATAGGGTAAAAACATCCTAAATCTTCTCCTTTTCACCTTTTTGAAGAAATAACCAACACTCTCATCTGAATCCGGCTCGGGGAAGATGGGAAAGGAGTCCTTGGATGAAACTGCATACTTTGGTTCATCCTGCATTCGTTCTGACGTCCGTTTCGAATCTTTCCTTTGTGGAGACATGAGGCTAGGCGATTCGTCCGGCTTCTTTTCCTTCATTTCATCAAAACTATTCCCTCTCACCCTTTTAACCTCTTCTTTTTTTAAGAAATCATTAGCTCTTGGGGAGATTATTGGCAACGGTTTTCTGACGGATGGCGGCCTAGTTTTTGCCTTCACCCTCGGCCTGGCCGGCAGCTCAGGTGGTAAGCCTCTCGGCATCTCATTCCCCTGCCTCTGCCTGAGAGACTCCAGCATTTCTTCCAACGAGCTCCTACCATCAAAGGAAGGCGAAATGGGCAGCATTTTCCCCTAATATATTGGCAAATCCTACAATGTATATGCCTAAATATAAATAAATCCCAGATTTAATATAATCTTCTTCTTTTGGGTCTAAATGAATGCCAGATTTCTTTAATCAAATAGGAAGGGTGTCGTTGTAGAAACTGTTCTAGAAATTTGTTTTCGGATAAGAATTCTGAGAAACGGCCGCCGGTTGCGATTTCAGGCCAGAATTTCTTCGGCCAATGCATAAAAACACTATGAAATCGGCAGCCCACGAGGGTTGATGCCGTTCCACAAAACCCCTCCAAATCTTACAATTCTACAGAAAATCAATTTTTACAAGAGGGTGTCAGATGTATGAGAGGCGACTCCGACCAATTGCCACCAAAATAAAAAAAATGCGGGAAAGAAACAATCTTGAAAAAACAGTTAGCAGCCCATTACAATTTACTACGGAGTATTACTCCTTATTATTTGTCCAATAACAACAATGATAAAATGAAACTTTAACACTACGTTTGGCTCAAAGATTTTGGAAGGGAAAGAAAAGAAAATGGTTTTCTCTCATTTTCCTCACCAAAATGGAAGGAATTTGATTTTCCCTCCACTTGGTACATTTTGCCTTCTCATTTTCTTTTCCTTTCACTTTTCCTTTCTTTTCCCCTCTAACCAAACAAGAAAAATAGTTTTCTTTTCATTTTCCTTTCAAATTCCTTAAACCAAACATAGTGTAAATGTTTTCAGTAACAACAATAACAATCAAGTTAGATCACACAAAATAGAGTCTGGGAAAGATGTGTACGCAGACCTAGTCCCTATTTAAAAGTAGGGAGGCTATTTCTAAGAAATTTTCAAATGTCTACGATTTTTATTTAATTAAAGCTCAAAATTCATCTTATTTAACTAAAAAATTCAAACTGAATAAAAGTACTCAAACAAATAAAGTAGATATAATGAAAAAAATGTTAAAATGTAGTGTAAAACTAGAAATTTGTGATAATGATTCTATATATAAATTTGTGATGCCGTCATACACACCATAGTCAAATGGTCTGGCAAAACACAAAAATCACACTCAGAGATAAATGGTAACCATAAATTTATGCCATAAGTTATAACATTCAAATCTTTGGGTACTAACATTCAAATATTTTCCAAAATGTTGTGTTGTTTATCAACTAACATGTCCATTCAAGGCACGGGGTGTCATACTCGTTCTAGAATACTTTCGTCTTGTCTGATTGGAGTATTTTGGTATATCTTAAAATAACTTTGATTTGAAAGCGTTTATACGTGATTCGCTAAGTCTATCAAGTCGTTCTTAACGTTCTTCGTGTACTGATTCTCGAATGCTGCTTCGCAACGTTATTGTCCCTTCCAAAATTCCAATAGTATTTTTTTATTTAGTATAATATTGTAGTTTCGTTTAGATCAATGGAATGTTACCGTGTTAATTAAATGTTTATACATTATATTATTTTATGTATTTTAAAATTAGTTTTTACTATTAGTTTAAGTTAAATATTTAAAAATAATTGTAGTAATTAGTTGGCAAATAGGCATATGTAGGGGAGGACCTACACTTGTGCAAGCAAGTGCAGTCAAGTGACTCCACTTATGTTTGGAGTAAATACTAATTACGGAGTATATGTAATGTATCCCATATTGGAAATTTTGATAAATTGGACAATTTTCGTACATAAATTAGGTAGGGTCCACAAAATTATTTTCCGAAATAATTATGGACGTTCAATCTCGTAAGTAAGACGAACATTTTGACATATGACACGCCATAAACGGTGCTCGGGTGAATGAGAAATTAATTCTCAAAGTTGAATACGAGAGTAGAGTATATACCCTTGTCCCACACCGGTTTTTTGAACCTTTCATATTCTCATATTTAAGCTTAGGCTTTTAATTGAACTTATGAAAGGAACAAGAAGAGGACTCCTCGCGCGCTGCCGCCGTCCGTCCGGCTAGTCAAGACACGCGCGCGTCGGGGCGGGGGGCGCCTGCGTCTACGGCGTGGAACACGCATGGGCACTTCGTGATTAACGAAGTGCCATTGTAATAAGCATGCATGCACTTGAGACCGAAGAGACACTCATCACTTCGAAAACTCTCTCTCTCTGCAGTAACGTAAACTCTTCCGACGATTCCCCGTTTCCGGTCATCTTCTCCGGTGATAACTTCCCGTCATTCTCGTTCGTCGGTGCACGGTGCTACCGCCCTAGGCCTTGCACGAAGCGGTTTTATCCTGGAAGGATTGCCCATGTTTGCCTGTGCGGGAGGCGGGTAATACTACCTTAAGGAAAGCTCCGGCGACTCCGCTTTCCTTACCCTTCTTTCTAGAAACTGCTCCGGCGACGTTCCTCTCTTCGTCCGACGTCTCTGTTTGCCATGCAAGCATCTGAAGACTCCAACTTTTTCTTTTCTTTATTTCGTTGTAAAATCCGAACGTTTTATAAGTTCGGATTTATTTTATTTTATTTTTCCCGCTGTAATATTTAACAATCTTAAGGTAGTATTAATGGAGTTCGGATTCCGCATTGTGGGTGCCTCTAGCAACGGGATGAGTTCCGAAATCCCGGTGGAAACCTCTTCGGTTGCCATGGTTGTGCCGTCCTCACCACTACCCTTCGGGTCAAGTGTGGGGGCCGCAACCATGACGTCGTTCTCAATGCCGAACTCGATCTTCGGATCGGCCCCGTGACCCATTCCCGGGCTTGAAACCACGGGGGATTACACCGTCGGTAATTCGAACCCGTTTCTCGGACCGACTATGGCTTAGGCCTCGACGGTCAACTTTGGACCGAACGCGGGTTTCCCCGCACCGGTCAATCCTTTTGTTGGACCTCATTGGGCGAGCAACGGGCCTTTCCTCCATATGCCCAATGCGGTTGGGGCCATTTCAGTGCTCGCTAGCTCGGTCCAAAGGCCACCGAAGTTCAATGGCACGAACTTCAAAATGTGGCAACAAAAGATGACGTTCTTCTTGACCGTCATGCGATTTGCTGAGTACCTGCAGCAAGATCCTCCCCAGCCCAACGAAGCCAACGACCCCCTCGTGGCGATGGTGAACTAAGCGTGGTACCACAACAATTATCTCGCCATCAATATTATCCTCGAGGGGTTGGCCGAGACGTTGTACCCCGTCTATGCCGGTGCAAAGTTTGCTAAGGAGCTTTGGAATAGCTTGAACAAGAAGCATGCATGCACTTGAGACCGAAGAGACACTCATCACTTCGAAAACTCTCTCTCTCTGCAGTAACGTAAACTCTTCCGACGATTCCCCGTTTCCGGTCATCTTCTCCGGTGATAACTTCCCGTCATTCTCGTTCGTCGGTGCACGGTGCTACCGCCCTAGGCCTTGCACGAAGCGGTTTTATCCTGGAAGGATTGCCCATGTTTGCCTGTGCGGGAGGCGGGTAATACTACCTTAAGGAAAGCTCCGGCGACTCCGCTTTCCTTACCCTTCTTTCTAGAAACTGCTCCGGCGACGTTCCTCTCTTCGTCCGACGTCTCTGTTTGCCATGCAAGCATCTGAAGACTCCAACTTTTTCTTTTCTTTATTTCGTTGTAAAATCCGAACGTTTTATAAGTTCGGATTCCGCATTGTGGGTGCCTCTAGCAACGGGATGAGTTCCGAAATCCCGGTGGAAACCTCTTCGGTTGCCATGGTTGTGCCGTCCTCACCACTACCCTTCGGGTCAAGTGTGGGGGCCGCAACCATGACGTCGTTCTCAATGCCGAACTCGATCTTCGGATCGGCCCCGTGACCCATTCCCGGGCTTGAAACCACGGGGGATTACACCGTCGGTAATTCGAACCCGTTTCTCGGACCGACTATGGCTTAGGCCTCGACGGTCAACTTTGGACCGAACGCGGGTTTCCCCGCACCGGTCAATCCTTTTGTTGGACCTCATTGGGCGAGCAACGGGCCTTTCCTCCATATGCCCAATGCGGTTGGGGCCATTTCAGTGCTCGCTAGCTCGGTCCAAAGGCCACCGAAGTTCAATGGCACGAACTTCAAAATGTGGCAACAAAAGATGACGTTCTTCTTGACCGTCATGCGATTTGCTGAGTACCTGCAGCAAGATCCTCCCCAGCCCAACGAAGCCAACGACCCCCTCGTGGCGATGGTGAACTAAGCGTGGTACCACAACAATTATCTCGCCATCAATATTATCCTCGAGGGGTTGGCCGAGACGTTGTACCCCGTCTATGCCGGTGCAAAGTTTGCTAAGGAGCTTTGGAATAGCTTGAACAAGAAGTATCAAGCTGAAGATGCCGGCACGAAGAAGTTCATCGTTGGGAAGATGCTGGAGTACAAAATGGTCGACAGCAAATCTGTTGTCACCCAAGCTGAAGAGCTTATGGTCATCTTCAATAAATGCAATGAAGAGAAAGTAGGCGTCACTGAAGAATTCCATGTGGCAGCCATCATCCACAAACTTCCCCGATCATGGGAAGACTTCCAAGCCGACCTCAAGCTCAAAAGAACGGAGCTAAACCTGGAGCAACTGCTCACACGATTGAGAATCAGAGAGGAGGGCTTGCTAGAAGAAGTGGAAGGGCAAAGGCGAATGTCGTAGAACATCCGTCAGGCTCTTCACATGGCGGGAAGGACAAGAAGAAAATGGGTCCTAAGGGTGGTGTTTCAAAATTTGCAAGGAAATGCTACAACTGTGGCATTACCTGGCATCGTTCCTCTGACTGTAGGAAAAAGAAGCCACAGAAGCGAAAGAAGAAAACCACTGAAGCCATGTGTGCAGAGCTTGACAACTTGGACCTCTGCGCGGTTGTCACCGAGGTGAATCTTGTCGGGTCAAACCCGAGGGAATGGTTTGTGGACACAGGAGCCACGCCATATTTGCTCAAACAATTGCATGTTTCATGACTTCCAAGAGACCTCCGGTGACAAGGTCTGGATGGGCAACTCGGCCCAATCAGAAGTTCAAGGAATTGGCAAAATTAAGCTCAAAATGACCTCAGGCAAGGAGTTAACGCTTAACGACGTGCTCTATGTGCCAGATATTCGCAAGAATTTAGTGTCAGGGTCATTGCTGATCAAACACGGCTTCTGGATGGTGTTTGAATCAGACAAGCTGATTTTGTCCAAAAAAGGGATTTTTATTGGGAAAGGTTATATTTCTGATGGGCTTGTCAAGCTCAATATAATGATTGTTCATGAAAAGATCAATAAAAATCATGTTGCTTATGTGTGTGAGTCTTCTAGTTTATGGCATGGTTGACTAGGACATGTTAATTATGCATCCATTCGGAAATTAATTAACATGGAACACATTCCTAAGTTTAGTATTGACTTAACTCACAAGTGTGAAACTTGTGTTGAGGCAAAGTCAACTAGAAGTTCGTTTCAAATGATCGAACGAAATACTCAACCTCTAGAGTTGGTTCACACCGACTTATGTGATTTTCGAACAACGCCTTCAAGAGGGGGTAATAAGAACTTCATTACCTTTGTGGATGATAGCACGAAATATTGCTATATCTATTTACTAAAAAGTAAAGATGAAGCGTTGGACACTTTTATTCGATATAAGCACTACAAGAAAAATGTTCTATAGTATGAGTAGAAACCGTAGTTAAAACTAAGAAAACCGTCATTAAAACTTTCTAATGACAGGAAATTTACTCTCATCGACCGTCATTATAGCCTCCATAGCTAATTACAAATAATGACGGGTTCCATGTCCTCTCATAAAAAACTATTTGATGAGAGTAATTTTACCCTCATCAAAATGTTCTTTTATGACAAAAAAATCCTCTCATTAATGCAATTAGTACTGTTTAAAACACCATTATTAGTGTTCGTTATGATTAAATATATACTCAAAACATTTTATTTATTTATCAGAAGATTTTATTAATCAAAAGAAAAATAAAATACAAAGGCATGCTGCCTCAGGCAAATATTTAAGGCTCAACAAATTATATCCAACAAATTACAACACCCTAAGTACTAAACAGCAATCCTGAATACTGCCTATTCAACATAATTTGTTTGTCCTGCTGACCAAACTCTAAAATCTAGGGTGCATCTCTGCCCGACCAAATTGACCAAACTTGGCCTCATACATTTAAAGATGAATCATCATAAACTCTTTATATCTGAACTGGACTTGTAGCAACTGATCTGAAACCAATAACAAAAAGCCATGCTGATGCGAAGAAGGGTCAACTCTGGTTCGATCATCTGGACATTGTAAAACAATCTTGCTCGGAAAGCTTTTGAGAAAAGTTAGAAAAAAAGAAGTGTAAATAGAAAAGGCTAACCCACAAAGCTTTCCAATTTCCCATATGATCATGAAATCTGAATTTCCCATACACCATAACATCTGAATTAATCTGTCTAATAGAACAACTGAGCTGCAAGAACAACCAGACCAATCATGTGTAAGATTCCATTATTACCATACACATTATGTCCAAAAATTAAATAAAGAAAATAATGAAAAACCTATCCTTCAAGCCAAGGAGAAACTAAGAAGAAGAGAAAGGTGATAAATCAAAGAGAGGAGATTCACAATCCATAGTAAGCCTCCATGATACTTTTCCTATTGGAGTTAGTCGCCTTTTTATATTGAGTCTAAGTGAGATAGCCTATTGACAACATTACAAAATCCTTATGAAAACAATATAGAAAAAATAAAAAATACGAAGTACATATATAAGAACAAAGTAATAAGATGATTATCAAATGTGTCATAGGCCGCCAATCTTACCAATATAGAGATCCATTTCAAACTTTATATCGCTTGTTCTGCAAAATTGGCTAAAGTTAGTATACCATGAAAAACAATTTGTAGTGATTGAGTACAAATTACATACAAAGCTAAACCCCAAAGTTGTGATATCAAAATATTTGAAAGATATTCAAAAATACCACACACAGGCTTCTGCCTTCGTAGCTTTGACAACATTTAATTGAGTGGATGATTATGAAAAGAATAAGAACATTAAGATGTAATCATTTAATTCCTAGACCCTCCATCTCGCTGAGGCAATGCATCAAACACAAATGATCCTTTTGTGGCGTTGTAGTTCATCTACCTTTCTTCGAGAAACCAAAAGACCTTGAAGTTCTACAACATTAACGTAAAGCACACATTGGGAAAGAGATTATGAGCAAGAGTCCCAATTAAGAGAAAAAAAGGTACTTGCATGTGTCATACAAAGGGAAATTGTTGCATGCATTGAGTGCCACCACCGTATTGGTTGAGTTTCACAATCCTTTGAGCAAATGCAAACAACGTAGCAACTGTTTTTTTCGGAGTAACCCTTTCCGTATTTTGATTAATTAAACCATACCATAGCCCTAAATTTATCAAGAATACACAATTGAAAATATTTCAAATAAAAATAGTAGCAACCTTTAATTGATAGTGAACTGGTTGGTAGCAGTGTAGTCATCACCTGGTTCGAACTCTGAAGTCCAACTATGCTCACATGCCTCGTTCTAATCTAAAAAATCTACAGAAAACAATATTAAATTATTATTGAATTGAATATTTGAATTGCATTTGAATTGAATTTTTGAAGATCATATTAAATTAGGTTTAACGGAATCTGCAAGAACAAAAGACAAGGAGCAAAAGTACCAACTTGTCTATACATTAGAAGCCAGTAATAGTACTAAATTGAGTATCAGTTGAAAAAATCAGCATTTCTTCATATTTGATAGTGAAAAGACACCCTATAAACCATAATTCCTCACCAGACCAATGCCCACCTGCATACTACCAACTTATAAAAATCTACAAATTAAAAGAGAATAGAAAAACCAAAACCCATTGCCAATGACCAAGCATAAACTTAGTCGTCACAAAATCCTCATCCAAAGTGATACCAAAGCTACATTTCAAAAAAAGAAGAGGAAACATTTAAATAGAGTAATATTGTTTTTGTTCCAAAGAACATAATGTTTGCTCCTTGTATCAAACAGAACACATTATGTTTGAATAAGACATTTATATAGCATACCCATGGCCATGGATTAACATAGTACTAAATACGAGTACCATCAAAAGTATCATATTTAGATACATAACAAATGAACAAACAAATTCTGGTTGAAATAACAGAAGTAAGAATACAGAGAAATTCATTGTTAAAAAAATAGAAGTAAAAATACAAAAAAATTATTGCTTGAAATAAAATCATAGTAGGATAGTACCTGTAGTCGTGTAAGATTAGTAGAAGGCACTCCAAGGTAGTAGCTTTGGCCTTTGAATTCAGTTCCCTTTGTTGGAAGAGCCTATTTAGGAGACCCTTCCGAAAAATGCAGATTGCAGAGAAAATTGTAGGTCCAAGGTCTCTCATACGATTTCTCCATTTATAATTTATATAAAACAGATTTCTAATTTCTATCGCTACATTTAAACCTATTAATCTTTATTCAGTACGCGTAAAAGGACTTCAAAATTATTTGGGTAGGGTTTACGAGTCGAAATCTATACGCACCTGGTATGCCCCCTGCCAACGATTCCCGCAAGCTTGAAGTCGACGGTGATTCCAGTTCGTAGGAGACGTTTTCGAAGCGTGTGCGCCCTATCCCGTAGACGAATCTGCCCTCAGCAACGACAGTTCCGGCGTGCCTGGTGAGAGTCAAATGGAGAATTAGATTTTTTGAGATATACTTTGTATCTAATTTTTGGGGCTCTATGGAATCAGGTCATCTGCAAGGGGTGGCACTAGTTTTTTTTGTTTAAGTTTTTAAGTAATGAGTTTTTTATTTGGAATATATTTTAGCTTGGTCTAAATAAAAATAAATTTTAAAGTTATACGGAGTAGTGAGAGTTTTAATATTTTATACTCCAATAATGAGAGTATTAAATTTTTTAAAAGAAAAAGAAAAACAATTGGTCACTTACAGAAACAAATTTTTACTACGGTATTTTTCCCATCACTAAAAATATATGAATAACATATTTAATGAGAGTCTTTTCAACCCGTCATAATTGATCCGTCATTAATAGTGGTTTTTCTTGTAGTGAAGAATGAAGTGAAAAATCAACTCAATTGCAAAATCAAAGCATTGAGAAGCGAAAGAGGTGGTGAGTATGATGCTCTACTTAATGAGTTTTGTGCACAGCATGGAATAGTGCATCAAGTAACCCCACCGTATACACCATAGTCTAACGGTGTAGCAGAGCGGAAAAATCGTACTCTGAAAGACATGATGAATGCGCTGCTACTTAGTTCTGGATTACCCCAAAACATGTGGGGGGAGGCTGTTTTATCAAGTAATTATTTACTAAATAAAATACCTCGTAAGAAACTTGACAAAACTCCGTATGAACTTTGGCATAATAGGAAGTCTTCCTATAAGTATCTCAAAGTGTGGGGGTGTCTCGCGAAAGTACTTGCACCACCACAGAAGAAGATGAAGATCGGTCCAAAAACAGTTGATGGAATCTTCATTGGGTACAGTAGTGCGTCATACCGATTCTTGGTGCATAAATCAGATAATCCTAAAATTCACAAGAACACAATCATTGAGTCACAGAATGCAACGTTTTTCGAGCACATTTTTCCGTGCAAGTCAAGTGACGAAGCTAGTTCGTCCAAACGTTCTCATACTGAGATGATGGATAACGATGATCCAAATCAGTTGAATTCCAGTGATGATGATGAAGTCGAACATGAGACTGAATTGAGACGGAGTAAAACAATACGAACTGAAAAGACGTTCGGTTCTGACTTCATAACATATCTGATAGAATTTGACGAACGGACTTTGTCATTTCTGATGGAAAATGAACCCGATATTCTAACCTGTTTGGTAGAAAAGGAACCACGAACCTATCACGGTGTCGTAACCTCAACCGAGGGACCTCAGTGGCGAGAAGCCATAAAAAGTGAAGTTGATTCTATTCTTCAGAATCACACTTGGGAATTGGTTGATCTCCCTTCAGGGTGTAAACCATTAGGTTCTAAAGCACAAATGGATCTCCAAATTTGTTGGATCTGAAAAAATAAACGAGATCCAAACTCTGGTAGAAGAAGAAAATGACAAAAAGAAGAAAAGGAAGGGGGGAGAAGAGATAGGGGAGAGATGAAGGCTAGATCTAGCGAGAAAAGAAAGAAAAGAAGAAGCAGGAAGAAGAGGAGGAAGATAACGAGGAGAAGAAATGGAAGGGGGAGAGGAAGAGAGAGAGAAAGAGTGGAAGAGGAAGAAGAAGAGAGAGAGAGAGAGTACTTGTGGTCTGGCAGAGAAGATACCAGCCGAGAGAAAGAAAAAGAAAAACGAGAAAGGACGGGAAAGGAAGAAAAGGGGTATTTTAAGAAGATTGGGTATGAAAACATATAATGGGAGTGTTGGGATATTAAGCGCGTAAGACTCTTAAAATATCAAGAACGTGAAAAATAAATAAACACACTACACAAGAAGAAAATATGAGAAAACTTATATCTTCACTATTTCATAACGATGCACAAAAAACTTTCCCTGTTTACAAGCGCTAAATACCAGACACATATAAACAGACTTTTCACATCCTACACTCGGATGTATTTTTCAAGTAACTAAATAATAGTTACTCCCTACACTCACTCACACAATTTTGGTGATATCTTGTGTAGAACCTTTCTCTTAACCCTCCTTCTCTCTCTTAACCTTCTCTCTCTTATAACCAAAGAAATACTCAGAATGCATGCATGGTTTGAAAAGAAGTCAAGAAAGAAAGATCCACTTTGATTTGATCACATGCACCAAGTCAATCAAATATCCCATTTTTTATCACGTTTCCTTCTTTTATTATCTTCTTTGTCCTCTTTCGTATTTTTTCTTTCTATTGATTATTTAATCAAATATCCTAACAACCTGAGAAGATTCAAACGTCACATGCTTCTTCCATGCAAATGCTCCGCTCGTTGCACTTGTAATTTTTCCTTCTAACAGCTTCCGTGTCAAATCATTTTTAATAAGTTTATACAAGACCTTTGACAAAACTCCTTTTGCTACCTCCATTGCTCCCCTAGAAATTTTTAACACTCCACCTTGAGCAAAAATTTGACAGCCTTCTGAATCTAAAGTCCCCAATGAAACCAAATTTCCTTTAGACCCAATACATGTTTCACTCCAGTTAATGTTCTCACCACACCATCAAACATGCGAACTTGTACTGTTCCGACCCTGCAATCTTGCTCCGTGCACCATTTGCCATCTTCACAGCACCCCCATCACAAGTTTGGTACATATCAAACTATTCCTTAACTGAACACATGTGAAACGAACAACCCGAATCTAATATCCAATCAAATTTACCTAGACTTTTTGCGGCTACCAAAAACAAGTCTTCTTCACTTGCCTTGTTCGAACTTTCTACAACCGCAGTCATGGGTGTTTTCCCGTCCTTCTTTTCCTTCGTCCTCTTTGGACAATCCCTTTTGAAATGACCCTCTTCATCGCAATAGTAACACAAAAAGCTTTTACTACTCGATTTGAAGCGTTGGGACATGCCGCCCCTCTCTTTAGACCGTCCTCGTTCCCAACTAGCTCCTTTTGCTACCAAAGCTTGACCGTCATTTGATACCCTGTTGCCACCCTGCCGAGTCTCGTTTATCAACAACATAGCAACTACTTCATCAAATTTTAAGGTCTCTTTTCCAAACAAGAGCGTGGCCACGATGTTGTCAAAAGATGAAGGCAATGAAGCCAACAAAAGCAGCGCTTTGTCCTCCTCTTCAATTTTCACATCAATGGATTCCAACTCTGTTGTAATATTGTTGAATTCATCCAAGTGTCCATTAAAGTTAGCCTCCTCCACCATTTTGAGACCAAACAATTGTTTCTTCAAGTATAGCCTACTTGTCAACGATTTCGACTTGTACCGGCTCTCCATTTTGTCCCAAATATCCACCGGGTCCGTCAAACCGAGAACCTCCCGAAGAGTATTATTTGAAAGGCATATTGTACTTGTTGCCATGTCCTTCAAATCCTCCCACTCTTCTTCCGACAATTTTTCCGATTTGTCGTTCTTTCGGCGTTTGGCCCACTCAGCATCCATCATTTTTTTGTCCTCTAAACCTTCGCCTTTAGAGCTTTGATTTTCCCTTCCCGAGTAAGAACACTTTTTACTCGTTGTTGCCACAGAGTAAAATCGCCACGTCCATCGAAAGGTTCAACAGAAACATTCGAACTTTTTACTGATTCCATTTTTCAAGTTCTTCGATTTTCTTCTCTTACCACTTAGAAATCCCTCCGCCCCAAATGTAACTTGGCTCCAATACCAATTGTTGGGATTTTAAGCGCGTAAGACTCTTAATATATCAAGAACGTGAAAATTAAATAAACACACTACACAAGAAGAAAATATGAGAGAAAAATTATATCTTCACTATTTCAGAATGATACACAAAAAACTCTTCCTGTTTACAAGCGCTAAATACCACCAGACACTTATAAACAGACTTTTCACATCCTACACCCGGATGTATTTTTCGAGTAACTAAATACTCCCTCCATCTGGATTTTAAGTTCTCATTCTACTTTTTTCTTCGTCCGGAAAAGAAGTTCCCATTATACGTTTTAATACCCATTTTTCCTAAAATACCCTTCTCTCCTTTCTTCTTCCTTTTCTCTTTCTCCCTTCATTTTCAATTTCCAATCCCTAAATTTCTTTCTTTTTTTCTCGGATCTGTACCTGTCTTCCACTCCCCCACTTCTTTCTCCTTTTCTTCCTTTGTCTTCTTCTTCTCAAAATCTCTTCCACCCATCCTTTACTTTTTCTTTTCTCCATGTCTCCCATCCTTCTCCATTTCCCTAATTCTTGTTATCTCTTCTCCTCATTTTCTTCTTTTTCTTCTTTCTTTCTTCTCGTCTCTGTGTTTCTCCGTCCATCTCCTCCTCTCTTTTTTCTCCCATTCATCTTTGTTCTTCTTTATCTCCCCCTTTAATTTCTCTTCCATTTTTATTCTCGATCTGATCATGGTGGTGATGGTAGGGGTGGCGATAGTGGCGGCGGTGACGATTGTGAGTCTAGATCTGAGATCTCCACTTTTTCCTCTTTTTTTCTTCTTTTCCATCTCCTCCTTTTTTCTTTTAGATCTGCCTCCGTCACAGTGGCGGAGAGATGGTGGTGCTGCGGGCGAAGGCGGGGCTGGCCGGCGGTGTTGGGGTGACGGCAATGGTGAGGGTGTGTTAATGGTATGTATGGATCTGCACTCCTCTTCTTCTCTATTTCCGATTTGTTTCTCATCATTCTTTATTTTAGATTTGATGGTGGGGATGTGGAGGATATGGTGAAAGGATTGTCGGAAAAAAGAGCGGTGATGGGTCTAGGGACAATGGTGGGGCTGGCGGCAAGGAGAGGTTACTGTGGTTCTTGGAGCTGTGTGATGGCAGGGCTGGTAAAGGAGAGGGTGAAGGAGGGCAGTTTAGACAAATTACACTCATAGTCAACTTCCACTAAAAAAGAGCAAAAGTCAAACCGGGAACTTAAAATCTGGACGGAAGGAGTAATAGTTACTCCATACACTCACTCACACAATTTTGGTGATATCTTGTGTAGCACCTCTCTCTTAACCCTCTTTCTCTCTCTTAGCCGTGTGTAAAAAAACCCACCCACACATATATTCAACGGTTGCCTTAATTGCTTTTATAACCAAAGAAATACTCAGTATGCATGCATGGTTTGAGAAGAAGTCAAGAAAGAAAGATCCACTTTGATTTGATCACATGCACCAAGTCAATCAAATATCCCATTTTTATCAGGTTTCTTTCTTTTATTATCTTCTTTGTCCTCTTTTTTATTTTTTCTTTCTTTTGATTATTTAATCAAATATCCCAGCAGGGAAGTTCTTTTTCGGATAGAGAAAAGCATAGAATGAGAAGTTCTTTTCTGGACGGATGGAGTATTAAAGTTCTTTATTTTACTTATTCTATTGTAACATTTATTTTGTATAAAAATGTTTATGTACAAGTCCAATTTTGAGAAATGATATATGGTTGGAAACGTTTTCGCGAGATCTACCCGAGGACACTAAAATTGTATAAAAATATTGATTTTATAAACAATTTATATTTTTTTGTCAAAATAAATAAATATTATATTAATTTTTTCTCAAAATACAGCTAACTACTTAGTCGGTTTTCAGGGTTGATGGGAAATAATACGTTGCTCAGTCCACATTTCCCAATTATTTACGGAGAATACTCAAACCAGGCATGTTTAGTAAAATGAAGGAATAAGAGAATATTCCTCCGAAGATGCTCCCCCTCCCTCTTATAAAAGGAGAGGTATTCCACCAAGAAAAGGAGGCCTCTCTCCTCTCTCTCCCCTGTCATATATTATTTCTCTCTCTAGATTGTGGTATATTTTCTTCTTCAAGAGCTTGTAGCTCCACAATTAATGGCTTCTAATCCTAAATAATGTACCATGTACAACCCCCGATATGAATAAAATCCCCCGTTGCCAAGGTACCGCCAAAAAAGGCCCATGGTTTTCTCCCGATTTGGGTTTCCACGTCAAAATTCCAGTGATTATATTTTGGTGTATTTTTTAGGCTAGTTTACCATTTTTGTCCGGCTAAAAACGATATAGTGGTCGATAATTTACATCATCATTTTGGCGCCGACCGTGGGACCCAAATAAATAGCCATGTCTTGCTGAAATGAGAGAAATGGGGCCACTAGTAAGTAATGGAGAGCAAATCCACAGATAGGCGAGCACGAAGAGAGCTCCAGACTGGAAATAATGGAGCTGGACAACATGATCAGCGTCTCGATGTCCTTAAACGCCGTCGTTCGCCTCAACGTCACTGACTCCATCTGGCAAGGCGGATCCAACTCCCCGATCTCCGCCGCCGACATGCTCTTCGTCGTGCTCCCTTCTGGAGGCGGTGACGCTGAGTATCTACAGCGCATCCTCTGCATGCTCACCAGCTACGGCGTCTTCCACGGGCATTTCGACCCCGATAATGACACCTCATCATAGAGGTGTTCGTTGACCACAGTGGGCACAACGTTGGTGATGAACAAATACGGCTTATCATACGACGCCTACGTGCTGCAGCACCACCCGGAGGAGCTCATGAGAGCATGCCCTCTGGTCTGCGAGGCGGAGGCCGATTCCATGTGTACTCCGTTCACCAAAGCCAACTGCGGCATCACGGCACACGCCCACTACGGCCGGAACCCGGAGATGAAAGCCATGATGCAGAGGGCCATGTTCGGAGTCTCCGTCCCTTTCATGAAGTCCTTCTTGGAAGGATACGATGGGTTCCGAGGCGTGAAGCGGTTGGTCGACGTCGGCGGGAGCGCCGGAGATTGCCTGAGGATGATCATAGAGAGGCATCCCACCATCCAACATGTTGTCAACTTCGATTTGGAGGAGGTTGTTCAGAAGGCTCCCCACATTCCTAAAAAAAGAGAAAGATCCAAGGAAAACCGCCAGAGGACACGAATGGTGCCGCCTCTGATGTCTAGCGTGGTTTCCGTCCTCGATCTTTCAAAGCCAATTATCGCCGCCAACGAAGTTAATCACCGACGCCCCTACAAAGATCTGTTGTCATCCCCGCCACTTCTGACACTTGTGCACCTCCATCATCAGATGGCCATTTTTTTATCCCACCACGCCCGAAAAAATAAATCCCTGATTGTAACTGTCGCGGCTAAAATCCGTACCCTTGGCTAAGAGTTGCCAGGCGGAGGAGATGATAACCCGTATGGGATTTGTGTTTGGAGTTTTCTCAAACAGGGGAATCAGCTATTAAAGTTGGGCAGCACATGAAAAAAGTAGTGATTTTCAATAATGGAATACATTTGGCAAATTTAAAAATTGCAATGGAATGCGCATATGCGGTGCTCAACTATTCCCAAGATAAATTGAATGATTGGGGATGGTTTCTCACACTAAGTTATGGAGTATTCATTATTTTTGAGGGGCCCATTTAAATCAAAATCCCAAATGGGGGAGAAAAGTCCTTGTTGATTACAGCTGCACAGTGTATATACCTCTCAGCTAGCCCCCCAAGCTTCATGCCCCACATCCAATCTTCATAGCTTTCACCATCTTGAAGGACAAAGGACAATGAATTGCCACAATTTACAACACAACTCTTGTGTTCGAATTTGTGGAAGAAGTTAATTGACGGGATCTACGAAAAACAAATCCAAACAAGGTGATAAAATATCAGATAAGAAGACCGCTGGACTACTCTGTTGCTCGGATCTATCAGAGGAGCTCGTTGCTTGGATCTGTGGAATGAATTAGAGAAGAAGACTGCAAGGATAAGAGAGAATCAAAAAAAGAAGAAAAAAGAAATTTCAAGAGAAAGAATTAGAGGACTAGATTGGGAGGTGGAGTGAAGAAATAGAAAGAGGAAGAAGATAAAGATGAGGAGAGAGAAGAAATTCATAGAAGAAGAACACGATTGGGAGGGTAGAGAAGAAATTGACAGAAGAAGACTAGGATTAAAAGGGGGGAGAAAAAATCGAAAGAAGAAGAATATGATTGGGAGGGGAGAGAAGAAATTGAAAAAAGAAAAACATGATTGGGAGGGGAGAAGAAAATGGAAGAAGAAGATACGGAAGAAAAATACGGAATAGACGTGAAGGAAGAAGATACGGAAGAAGAAAATATGTTATGAGGGTAGAATAGACTTTTAATGGTTTTTTCTTTCCAATTAAGGAAAGTGGACAAATATTGTGGGACGGCCAAAAAAGAATACTGGACGGATACTGCAGGACGGAGCGAGTATTATTTTATAGTCATGGATGAAAAGTCTCCGATGAGACATGATTTGCTATCCTTCGTTGTTTTAATCAATTGGAAGGAATCAGCTATGGAATTACATGTCCGATCAAATTGGCGTGGTAATGACTCTTGTCAAACTAGGGCCAATGTTTCGCTGAGGAAGACTGAGACATAGGCCTGGACTTGGCACGCTGGTTACTACACCGGTCTTGCTCGGTATAATAAAAAATATAAATCCAGCAGAGGGGCCCGGATAAGGGGTATGCTTGCAAGAAGGCTGGACCTGGATCGGAAGAGGGTTCGAACCGCACTTACACGGACTCATGAAGTTTGACCGGTATCGGGGAGTCAGCCAAAATTGTCAAACTGATTGAGAACTAAAAGATACCCATTAAAAGAAATAGAAAAGGATCATTCACCGCAATGCATCCTACTCCGACCGGGTCGGATTACCCCTTCTCAGGGAAGACTTGAACGGGGGGCTAGCTAAGGCCTTTTCCCAGGATAGTAAATATCAAAGGGCCATTAAAAGACTTAATCACCCGGAAGAGGGGGCCCTGGAAGAAGGGTGCATTTTGGACCTTGGAGAGGGCTCGAAACCATCCGACATGGTTAATTCTCCAATGTTGATCTGGCCCGGCCAACAGCATTATCTTCGAGGAAGACTGAGACAAAGGCTCGGCCTGGCACGCTGGTTACAACACCGGTCTTGCTCAGTATAATAAAGAAAATATATGACCCAGTCAAACTGCTACACTGGTCTCACACCGGTCTTGCACATATTTTCCAACGAGCTTGAGCCCAATCGAATTATGTACACTGATCGCACATCGGTTCCAGCAAAAAAGTGAGCTGAGCTCATATCGAGGATGCCCGATTTATTTTATGCCCTCTATCTGAGGCACTTTTATTGAAGATGGTCTCCGCGAGACATGAAGATATTTACATCAGTCAGCCGGGTTAACACTGATCTTCAACAAAGCTACCGCATCATATTCAATTCTTATTAACTAACGTCCTTGCCATCACTTTACTAATTTCGTCACGCATCGTTTGATTGACTCGTATTAACACCGGCCTCGACGAAATAACTTTTTGAAGCACGGTTGTTTCATCGAACTAACATCGCTCTCATTAGGGTAGTTATCCGCGCGTATTTTAATCACCTAACACCGAGCTCCTCGGTAAAAATAATAATTATTTGAGCACAGCATAGGCAGGTCAAAAAAAAGTTGTACGTATTATTTTTTGGAGGAAAAACATCTCATTCAAGAAATTAGAGAATTAATGAAGACTCGGAGGACTAGCAATATCAACCGGTCAAGAATCCAAAGCACGAAGATTGAAGATAGCACTCGCAGGACTTGTTTACTTTCTTAAGTTGATGATTCTCACAACTTAAAAAAGTGGGGGACTTCTTGATGGGAAATAATACGTGGCTCGGTCCACATTTCCCAATTATTTACGGAGAATACTCAAACCGGGCATGTTTAGTAAAATGAAGGAATAAGAGAATATTTCTCCGAAGATGCTCCCTTTCTCCTATAAAAGGAGAGGTATTCCACCAAGATAAGGAGGCCTCTTTCCTCTCTCTCCCCCTTCATATATTATTTCTCTCTAGATTGTGGTATATTTTCTTCTTCAAGACCTTGTAGCTCCACCATTAATGGCTTCTAAGCCTAAATAATGTAGCGTGTACAACCCCCGATATGAATATAAATTCCCCCGTTGGCAAGGTACCGCCAAAAAAGGCCCGTGGTTTTCTTCCGATTTGGGTTTCCACGTCAAAATTCCTGTGTTTATATTTTGGTATATTTTTTAGGCTAGTTTATTGTTTTTTCCCGGCTAAAAACGATATACCGGTCGATAATTCACACCATCAAGGGTGTTACAGATTATTTAGGGAATACATCTCAATTACAAAGGATGACGTTTGTAATTATTGTTTATTGAGAACTAATTTGAGAAAATACCTTTTATGAGAAAGGACCATTTTAGAAATTCACTCTAAAAACTTATCTTTCACCCATATTTTTAAATATCAATTTTATATCTTGTAAACAATTATTTTTTTCTACCAAACAATAGACAATGTGGGAGAAAAATCATTTTCTTTTGAAAAAAACAAAAAATATTTTTCCCCTAACCAAATGCACTCTTTGTAATACCCCGTATTAAGATGAGAATGTGAAGGGCTCAAAAGAATTAATAGTACTACTCATACCAACAAGGTGTATCTTCTTTTCGAGAGCTCATTACTTAGAAACTCCAAAATTAAGCGTGCTTGACCTGGATTAATTTTAGGATGAGTGACCCATGAGAAATTCCTTGGGCGTGCATGAGTGAGAACAAAGTGCGCAAGAAAGACTTGTATTGATTTGTGGGGTCAATCTACACATCTATGAGCAGACGCTTACGTACGAGGTGTTACACCCTTAGACTCTATTTTTTTCAGTTGAAAAAATTAACTTCAAATTTCTTGCAACTCTCTCTAGTTTTCTTCCAGTCTTCAAACGACTTAAAAATGTATTTACATATGATAACTATTTAATAACATTATAGATCTAAATTTATAAAATAGTACCTTAAACACGGACAAAGATAAAAATTTTTATATATCCAAAATTAAGTTTTTTACATGGATGATCGTTTAATTGAGTAATTTTTTAGCACTTTATTTTTTCCAACATTTTGCAGCTTGTTTTTTCTAATTTCTTCCAAAACTTTTCTAATTTCTTCCAACATTCAACTTTAGAATTCCAATAAAAAAGAACAAAACCTTAGTCGAAGAGTTTTTGGTGACTTGTCTCACAAAAAACTAAAGGAAAATACTTGGAGAACCCTACTTGGTGTACGCCAAGGCAAAAATAGGCACACACAGACACTCAATGTCTATGCATGCATAGACATTGAGTGTCTTCGAGTGCCTATCTTTTTCTTTTGTGTATACTTAAGGTACACCAAGTGAGGTTGCACTAGAGGAAAAAGACTAAAATAGCATTAAAACAATTAAAATATATCAAAATATGGGCTCTAAGTTTTCATTCACGAAATAAGAGTAATGCATTTGCAGTGGTAATCATAACCATAAACATTACCAAAAAGTATTGTAAAATATCTATATACACTGTCACATTGCTACACTGCAAACTCTTATTTTGTAGGGTGATTTCTTTTCCCTAGCACTCCTCAAAATTGAAGGGCACATATTGGATATTAGACATGATAAATAATTACGGAGCAATAAGCAATCCAATAATCGGATCTAATGAAATAGACCTATGAGGTGGACTGAGGGACCTGTTAGCCACCATAATAGTAAGCCTTAATAAAGGCTATTTGTTGTTGAATTTGAAAGGGGAGCTCAATTGAAATGCACAATTTCATATACACGATTACTGCTATAGTCTAATTTCCAGTGAATTAAAATCTATCACACTCGACTCAGACGATCTAGGCCATAACTCGCTAACCCAAGAACTATCAATGGCCCTAACCAATTGATGGCAACTCAATTGCCATCATGAGTTCTTGTTGGACCTTATATTTCTTTAGGCCTTCTTTAGGAACATCATTTCTAATTAACATTAGCATTTTGGATAATTTTCCAATGCTATAGATTAACTTTGAAATCAATAAAGCTAAGTGTTGCCATTGATCACCTTTTCAAAATGCTAAAAGCTAAATACTGAAGTTATTGCATAATGGGCAATAGCCTGATGAAATGAAACTTTGCTAGACAACAACGCTAACAGGTAAAAAAGAAGAAAAGGATACACTTCAAAGGAATATTCTGCGTTCAATTGCATCAGTAGCTTTACTAATGAAAGTGTCAACCGGCATGGTCCCCAATTCACCACCAAATCTGGATCTAACGGTCACAGTTTTGGTTTCTACTTCTTTCGGGCCAATCACAGCCATCAATGGAATCTTCTGCTTCTCTGCATTTCTTATCAGTTTTGACAAACGCTCACCGCTGCAAACCTCAGCACGGATGCCACTTGCCTTTAGTCTCTTCGCCACCTCATTGCAAAACTCAAGCTGCAAGCAAATATGTGTTCAAAGTAACAATTGATCTTACAATATATGGTTCTATAACTTCTATTAATTATGGATAATCTAAATGTGAAATCATTGTTTTGTATTTAAATACTACCAAATGGAGAGACGGAGTAGATTATTAGTAGGACAAAAATTGATCCTTTATTCCCTTTGAAAGTGCCCAGACCAAATACGCTTTAAGTTAAGACAAATCTTGAGTGACGCAATCAAAATCCCAAAATTATAATTTATTTGTATAAATACTGATAGAAAATGCAAACATGGCCAATAAGGAACAATATATAATATGGACACACGGTGACTGCCCATTTTCGGCTCAAACCTAACCTCTCTCGGTATTTCCTTTTAGTGGTCGTATTACGAGATACTCTTGTGGTTTTTTCGCGAGATCTCTAGGTTCTTAACGGGACACCTAATTCTAACCTGCGGAGAAGAAAACCCGACTCAGTTGTATACAGTACAGTTTGGCGAGGCCATTTAATTAATCCACCTATTACACAAACAAGATACCTTATCAGGAATGCTCTTTTTCAAACTATGTTTTCAAGATGATATTCAATTACTTCGTATTATGGAAACAGTAAACAATTTGCCTGTATGGTTGAGCATTGCCACTTCCTTCCGAGAGCATCCTCAATTTTAAGATCAATCTTAGGACCATAAAAGGCCCCACCTCCCTCATCTATCTGATAGTTCCACCTTTTGTCGTTCAAAGCATCCTGAAGTGCAGAAGTTGCTTTTTCCCATCTATCATCATTTCCCACAGCTTTCTCAGGCCTTGTTGAAAGGTTGACCTCATAATTCCCAAAACCAAACCATTGCAATATTTCTTCTGTAAGGTCTAGTACACCCAGGATTTCATCTTTCACTTGATCCTCTAAGCAAAATATGTGGGCATCATCCTTGAGACAAACAAAGATGTGACATTAATATTAAAATAAGATTTCCTCAAAAAAAATGGAATAAGATTATGATTTCTTTGGACAGTATGATTACCAATATATTAATCGTATATTGTATACTATTACTAATAAAGACATGCCAAATAGAAAAGGCATTGACCCTGATTTATGTTACACATGAAAACAGAGAGAGAGAGAGAGAGAGAGAGGTGGGGGATTTGGTATTGACATGGTACTGTTTATTATCCAACTACATGGAGGATAACAATGCCATTTTTGCTGGGCTAAAAAGAAAAAACAACTCCCTGGTCGCCTCAAAAAATTAATGGAAATTCAAGTACAATAAAGATTGTAAAATACATTAAGCATACCTGGGTAAAGCCCCTGACACGAAACAGGCCATGTAAGCTCCCAGACAACTCATATCTGTACACTGTTCCTAGCTCTGCAAGCCTGATTGGGAAATCCCGAAATGAGTGTGGCTTCCTTTTGTAAACCAATATATGGTAGGGACAATTCATTGGTCGAAGCTGATAAATCTCGGTCTCAATCTCCATTTGATCAAACATATTCTCTTTGTAGAAATCAAGATGGCCACTTGTCTTCCAAAGATCTGCTTTTGCTACATGAGGAGTATATAGCAAATCATACCCATGTTCTATATGAATCTTCTTCCAGGCATCTTCTATTATGTGTCTCACAATAGCCCCATTGGGATGCCAGAATACTAGACCTCCACCAGCTTCATCCTGCCAGTGTATGAGAGCTTGAGATTCAGATTCGTGTTAGCTGGCCAAACATAACTGTATCAGTGCACTTGCGCTATGTTTGGTTTAGAGAAGAAAATGATGAGAATAAGGAAAAAGAGAAGAAAAATATTGGAGAACTTTTTCTCTACCTTGTTCTGTTAGAAAACAAAATGAGAAAATGACAAAATGCTTGTATATAAAAAAGGTCCCATTTTCATCTTCACTTAGGAATGGTATAAAGAAAGTCTGGGACCACATGGTTTTTCTCTCTATCCTTGTCCTCTTCAAAGTCAAACAAAGGATATGGTAAAACTCTATTCTTTTTATTTCCTCTAAATTGTTTTTCCATATTTTTCTCCCTTACCACGCACACCGTCAAGGTGAATAATGGGGCATGGGAACTGCTAATTATCACCAGTACCTGAATGGAGAAGAGATCTAGTTCTTGGCCTAGTCGGCGGTGATCCCTTTGCTTAGCTTCCTCTTTGAAGTGAATATATGCTTTTAATTGCTCTTCAGTCTCCCATGCTGTACCATAAATCCTCTGGAGCATTGGCTTACTCACATCTCCTCTCCAGTAAGCACCAGCTACAGATTCAAGCTCAACAGCATTCCTGTCAATATTTCCAGTAGATTCAACATGAGGCCCAGCACAAAGATCCCACCATTCATCACCTAAAAGATGTGTAACATGTACTGATTATTAAAAGGGATTGTGATTACAATAATGATCATGTACCATACAGGGACTAAAGAAGGAAGATATTATGTTGCAACTTGCGAGAAACAATGCAAAGAGGAAAAAACTTACATATGCGCACAAGATTTAAGAGGATAAGAGACTCTCGGTCCCAAGTTCAACATCTAGTCCTTGTTACTTAAAGTTTAGTCATAAAAGTGTGCAACTATAAAGCTCACTATTTGTAACATATATAACCCCAAAGAGTATCTAGTATTAACATTTAAAAAAGGATCAAACTATTTGTACACCCCAAAAAAGTGCACACCAAGTTTACACCACCTCTTTTTTCCCATTCCCGGAAATAAACAATTCGTGTCTGTGTACGACACACACGAGTTTTGTTGTAAAGTGCAAAATATGAGGTGGTGTAAACTTGGTGTCATAGTTGTCACAGCGCCAAGGTGAGGCGAGGCACGGCGCCAGTGTACAGCCCTGACTCCTAGCCAACTAGGCAACCGCCTCGGCGACAGTTAGGCGACCTAGGCCGAAACACATAAGAAATCAGTGTAGGTGTACCAATTAGAAAAAGGAAATATGCAGTCAATAAGACAACCACAACATTATATCTTTTACTGAAGACAAAGAGATTGTTTACAACCTTTGACACCATAAGCAACGGGTATATGGGTAGTTACTAGCCACAACATCAAGCTCTATCTAATTATAACTTCAGTTATTACTACCTTTGTCCCAAAATAGAAGGGATTGTTAGGTTTACGATGTTTGACTAAAGTTATTTGTAATTCAATTTATTTCAGAGTTGGTATGGAAATAAAAAAAATTATTTAAAACTACATTAAAAAATCTAAATAAACAAGAGGTGACATGAATATATTATTTCATCAAATAAGTAACAAAAATAGGCAAAAAAATGGATAACGCCTGACCCTATAAATAGTGAATTGGGTTTTATTTTGGGACGGGGGAGTATTAATTAAAAAATAATAATCAAGTACTCAGTTTGCATAAATGGATAACTGCATAATTAAGATCTAGTTACTCAAAACATACATAATTAAACAAAGAGTTCATATTATTATTTAAAATCAAATAATGTTGTGAGGAAGAGTTTTTAATACGGAGTATCATTCAATTTCAAATAATGTATTGTGATACCTATATGATAAATTGTTACAGGATCATCCTTGATACTGTTCAAGATCTCCAGCTTGTAAGGTTCATTTATAGCCATTATTCTTTCCTCGGCTTCATCTTTGCTCACTTCTTCCCTAATTAGGGGCAAATTTCTCCTGATAATACAATCCTACAAATGCTTCAACATATAAACTCAGCATCTAGAAACTTAGTCCATGAAGGTTAACATACATGTGCTTGTCTACAATTATTATTGCAGAGGGAGGGAGGGAGGGAGGGAGAGAGAGAGAGAGAGAGAGAGAGAGAGAGAGAGAGAGAAGGTAATTGGCAATTAAGCCAGCTCACCATCTCCTGCTTAATCCTCTTGAGGTCACTATTAGTCAAAGGCTCCATATCAAAATCATAATAAAACCCATTCTCTATCCAAGGCCCAATAGTTACTTTTGAATTCGGATAAATCTTTTGAACAGCCATGGCCATCACATGAGCACACTGCATGAATACATTAAGTAGGTATTAGGTGTTTGAAAACTCAGTTTGAGCTGTCAGAGCAGGGTATGGTGTAGAGATGAGGATATGGGTTATTTGAGAAAACGATAAGCCATAACAAGAAAAAATCAGGTTACAGTTAGCTACACGGATGGAATGATTTTACACTGGACATATTTATACTCTTGGAGATATCCTGATGTCATACAAGGCAGTTTCATACGAACATCAACAACAACCCACTAGAATCCCATGATAGTTTAATACGGAGTATTGTATAACATTTGGCATTGAAGTAATAAGAAAAGGTCGTTGCTAAATCCACTCCTCGTGTGGCTATATCAACCCCTTTCTATATGAACTGAAGAAATTTACCTTTAATATTTAAAAAAGGGAAAGAAATAAGTGAAATGCAAAGTTGTCAATTCCTTTTAAATGGAGTAGATTTAGCAATATAAGGGATGGATTTAGCACCACCCAAAAGAAAACCACATATACCATTGCTAGATTCATTTCAATGAACAAAGCATGTTGTCAGACCTACTCTTTTTAGCAAAATTGTTTAGATCCTTTTTTTCTTTCAAGCTTTTTAAGAACAGGCAACTGCAATTAAAATTGAACCGCGCCATTCACCAGTTTAGCTCCACTTTTTTACTGCGAGAATTATATCAATAATTCCTCTACTCCTGACCAAATTAAGAAGGCAAATATACCATCACTGTGCGTATTTAGTGAAATGGGTGAAATGAAGATACCGTGTGGCGAATTCTGAGAAGACTCTCAGAGGACTCATTAGTAGGCAGGACGACTCTCTCCATCGGGGCATTACTTTGGGCATCAGCAGGACGACCCACATGGCCTGCGGCGGAGTCTGTTTCGGAAGCACCGGCGGCGACGGCGGATGAAATTGTGGAGATACGCCTGAAATAGCTTGCCTTCGTTGCGGCGGAGCTTGAGTGGTGTAATATAAAAAGGGTATTCCCGATTTGGTGGCGTTTGGTGAGGGAACAGAGAGTGGATTTCGAAGCAAGCGTGAGGGGAAAACGAGAAGATAATAGCGATAAGGCGGTCATCCTCTGCAGGAGGCTAAGGTTCTTCATCGGCCCTCCTGTCTTACTTCTGCGGCGAAGATTGTTTCTGATAAAACTCCAGCAACACGCCTCTTTTTAGTACTCGAAAAACAGAGCAAACCACACAAACAAAAATGAAAAATCTAAAAAAAACCTTATAAAAGTACGGAGTATATTTTTATATTGTTTTTAATTTATTTTTTGTTTTTATAAATTATTATTATTATTATTATTATGTTATCTTAATAATATTTTTAAAAACCAAACTAGAAATAAAACATACTATAACATATCATCATAGTAAAGTTCAAACTTAAACTCTTCTAAATAGGAGTAACTAACTTAACTAATTTAAATTTGCACGCACTCTCTCCCTCTCATTGCTCTTCTTTTTCAACATCAGAAACACCAATCCACTCAACTATCTTCCTCTCTCCATCAATTATTTAGAACACTCTAATAATGCATCTTTCAACTCTTCCATGGGACCATTATGGTGTAACTAGAAGCTCCAGCACATGACCATGTGGAGTGTGGATGCTGCCTTAGTTTACGAAGTAATTCTACAAACTCATGCCCAAATCAATTCTATGCTTTTTATAGTAAACCCTTATCAACATAGAGCAAAATAGGAGTAAAAAATTAATAATACACCAAAATAAGAATTGAAAAGATAAATCACCAAAATAGGAGTGATATTCATTTTGTAGAAAGTCTAAAGTAAAAAATATACTCAATTCTTTAAAAAGGCAGCAGACATGCTCCCTCTCCTCTCTTATATGCCTTGGATTCGCAACACTATTGTACAGCCGTCGCGCAAGAAGCTCGCCGTCGTTACCAAGTAGCCGGTGTTGAGAAGGAATGTTTGCTGGCCGAAGTAGCCTAGTCGCTAGCGCACTTGTTCACAGTCCCTCTCCCTGCCACCAAAGTGTCACATTAATTATTCATAGTGTCAAACAAAATAGTATAATGCCAAACATGACAACACATAATGTCAAACATGACAATATATAATGTCATACATGAGTAACATGACAATGCATAATAATAAACATGACAATGTATAATGTGAAAAATTTAAATTTAAACAATCGAAAAAGCCAGAGCCCAAAACAACTTAAAAGAATCGAGAGCACAAACAGAACCCCAAATATCTACCAAAATAATTCTCGACATAGCAACTTAAAAAATTTACAGAGAACGTCAAGGGTTCAGTTATCAATACCTTACATATAAAAACTCAGTAAACTCCTCATTAAAATGTTCATACATTGTCAAAAAAGATCTCATGTAACGCCATGCGTAAAAGCATAATGGCAATCATGCTAATGTATAAAGTCATAAATATGAATGCATATTGTTAAACAAATAGATAATGTCATACCTAGCAATGTAAAATTACATATATGTCAATCTATAATGTTATACATCACACACATTAATACATAGTGTCAAAAAGAGTTATACGTCAAGAAGTTCTACATTTGTCAACACCATAATCATTCAGTTCCAACTTTACAAAATAACTAGTTTTTACCCCGTGCTTTGCACGGGCTTGCATATTTTTCTGTAAAATATATCTATAAAATTGTTATTATATTAAAATATAAACCTAGATTAAATAATAAAGTGAATTACAATTAAAATTGTTCTATCGCATTGCTTATTGATAGAATACATATGAAGGATAATACATTAATTATTTGTAAATAACTTACATAGACATTTCATTTTTTGAGATATCATGATATGCGTGGGAGGATGTGTTTATTAATTTCCTCTATGGCTCTTATTATTTTACACTTCAGTAATCAAATTTATAATTTTGATAGAAAAATTTATTTAAAATTTTAAAGGAAAAGTTTGAATTTTTAATACGAATTTTAGAGAACTTTTATACACTGAAATCTTACTCTTTATAATCTAAACTTTCATATTTATTACACTTATCATGGGAAAATGGTGTAAAAATTTATACAAGCAGTTGTCTTTTAAAATTTATGCAACCTTTGAAAAAATAATTAATTGTAAGATATTAATATATATTTTAAAATGATGAAGGACATATTAATATAATAATTAGAATATGAAAAGTATTATAAATAGAAGTTTATGGTAATTAAAAGAAATAATCACGAACAATCTTTTAAATACAAAATAAACTAATAAATGCCATGTGGACCAATAAAATGATGACATTATGCCATGTAGATATAAATTTTGTCATGTCATAGGCCACATGTCTCAGCTACAACTTATGAACTCTCCTTTACATATATATACTAGCATTCTAACCCGTATTTGCTAGGATTTCTATTGTCAACCAGAACCAATATTTGTAATTTTGTCTTTGTCTTCAGTCTTGAAACAACAACATAAAACTGACCATGAATGAAGAATGAATTGGTTAAATATAATCCAACAAATTACAATGTTGACCTTGACTTTTGTTGATTGTCATTGCAAAACATAAATTTATTGAGAATTGTCCTCTCTAGAACTTCAGTTGTAGTCCTGGATCAGATGGTACCAAATTCATCCAAGGTATGTAAACTTTTTCTCCGACTTTATATCCCAAAACAATTAAAGCATCGATAACACTCTTTCGTAGCTATTCAAACTATTTTGATACCCCTTTTTAAAAACTATTTTGTGGTTTGACATCTTCGAACATTTAAATTTATTCGAAACTCAACTGTTATCCAATCGCCATTAACACTTACATCTAAATCTGCATGGCATGAATAATCAAAACTCTTCATCTCCATGAATGATTATAAATTATAAATACATTTAGCAAATTTTATTTATTTTTTCTTTTACGTTTGAATCAGTAATCATTCAAGCCCGTAAATTTTTGTTTTATAAAATATTAATTTAGAGATTTAAATATACAGGAGTATTTTATATTTTTACGTCAATGTTTAAACTAATAAAAGAAAAGCTAACTTCATTTAATAAGCATATTTATAAACAAATATAAAATTGATTTGGTGACAAAGAGAGTATCTTTTTTAACGAAAGAAATCTTATTTATTCATTGAAAGTTTTATTATAAATGAAATGGAAAAGAATGTAAATTTAAAAAGAATATTCTAATTAAAAAGAATACCTATATTCCATATTTAAATTTATTCCATGATGTTGAAATCATAAAGAATGTTTGTGTAAACATAGTATGGTATGGTGACACATATTTTGATTAACTATATTCTATATTTTAATTTAAGTATCATTTGCTAAAAGATAATTAAAAATAACATATTTTTAAATTTAGATCATAAATGGTCTAAAACGTAATAAGTTTTCTAGTCATTAAATCAAATTATAAAATTAATATATTTAAACTATTAAATTATGTGTAGTATTTTTTCTAGTTGAAGATTAGTATAAACCAATCATATAGTATTTTTTAATTTTATATCATTATTTAAACAAATAGATTCAAAATTAATTTTTTTAAGAATATCCTAAACAAATACTCGTATAATTTTTTTAAGGGTGAAAAGAGTTACGTGTTTATTAATTGAAAGCTTTGTTATACATAAAGAGAGAAAAAAATATTGAATTAGAAAAGAATATTATTACAAAACAAAAATCTAAATTTCATATTTAAATCTATTCAAAATATGTCATCCTAAAATATTTATTTCATATTTTCTTGTTTGAAAATTAAGTGAAATAAATCACATAATAAATACACATATCAACTTTCTATATGAGTCTCATTTTTATATTCAAAACATTTATTAAAATTTAAATAATTTTATTTTGAATAAAAATAAAAATTTTATTTTAATATCATGTCAAGTATTATTTGTAGTATATTAAATTGTTAATCACAAGTTGAATTGTTTTTTGAGTGAATGTTAAATATTTATTTAAGTATATTATATATTTACCTAACTTGTAATTGATTGCCTTTCATAAATTTCTAGCAAACTATTTAGTTGGTTTTTTTGATTGTCTTACATAAATAAATGATAATTTGTCAAAAAATAGTGCCACATAGAAATCGCCACATGTCAATTTCTTAAAGAGTAACTTGTCTTTTTTTAAAAGAGCCACATGTCGAATTCTTAGAGTAAGGAGTCTCAAATTTATATATAAAGGAAAAGGATTTTCTTGTGTGAAATTAGGTGAAATAAATCACATAATAATTACACACATGAAATTTCTAATGATATGAGTCTCATTTTTATACATAAAAGATTTATCAAAATTTTAAATGTTAAATATTTTGATTAAGTATATTAAATGTTTACTTAACTTGTAATTCATTGCCTTTCATAAATTTCTAACAAATTATTTTTTCGGTTTTTTTGATTGCCTTACATAAATAAATGAAAATTTGTCAAAAAATAATGCCACATAGATATCGCCACAAGTCAATTTTTTTAAAGATATAAAGATATAGGATAGGACAGGATTCCGTAAGAAGTAAATTAAGATTTAAAATTGAATGTCACCCTTTGTGTCGAATTGAATATAAAATTGAACTCAACCTTACAAGAGGCGCAAAGAATTAGTACCAATTTTACAAAATAATTCCCTAAGAAGTAAATTTTTAGATTTAAAATTGAATGTATAACCACTTATGTAAAATTGAATATAAAATTGAATTCAAACTTACACCAACTGACGTAAGCATCATCGCTGGGAGTCTAAGCGACGAAAATGGTGGAAGGGGTGGAAGGAGATCGTCTGTATAAGAGAAAGGGAGATATGACGGAGTGCGGTGGAATCATTGTCGCGCGGAGGCAAAGATGGAGGCGGAGAGGGGCTTGAGATTGGGGTAACATTGACATCAACTGGTATGGAACGAAGAAAGAGATCAGCAATGGTGCAGATTAAGAATGAGATCGGGACCTGAGAGGGGGCGATAGTTTTGATCCTAAAGGGGGATGTGTCGTTTGTGCGGCCATGAGTAAATGAAAACATATTTTAATTAATTACTCCTATTTTGAGGAGTTTAAGTTTGAGCTTCTATTTTAACGATATGTCATATGTTTTACTCCTATTTAGGGAATTTCTTTTTTCATACACAAAAAAAATTACTTTTGCAAAAAAAGAAGTTTAATATAAAGTTAGCATAATATAGAAGTGTGAAGTCCTACCTATAAGCTTAAACTTTTGGGTTAGAATAATGGATCCTGATTTTTTATGCAAGTGATTAATTTTATCCGATACTCTATCCGTTGTTCTCGGGCCATCAGAATTTTAACATAATATAATATTCATTATAAAATAATATTATATTCATTTTGGAATAATGTAATATTCGTTCCACCGTTGTGGTTGGTGATTTAATCAGCAATATCACCTCCCTCGATTTACCTAAAAGTTAAGAGTAATGCTTGAGCCATAAACAAAACATTTACAAATTTATAAATTTGCCTATTATGAAATGTAAAAGATTGAAATAATGATCTCAAGTAATTAAAAAATAAAAATTAAAATACACAAATGGTAAATTTATGTATTTTGTGAGTGTTTTATTTGTGGCTCTAGTATTAAAAAAATTAATACTCAATATTGCTCCATAAAAGATAAGATTAGAAACATAATAATCCGTCCCAAAGCCATACCCAATTTGAAGGCAATTTGATTAACCCGCAGACAATTTCAGTGCCTGGAGAAGCACGCAGTAGCAAGATTGGAAAGGACAGAGAGGGAAGAGCGGCGAAAAAGGAAGCATTGGTGCATATTTTCTAAATCATAAGAGACACTCGTGTTCATTTCTTATTTTTTTATTGTTTGGTTTTTTTCTTTTCTTAACTCTTTTTTAACTATTTGTTTTCAATTCGTAGAAAAGTTTTTTAATTTTTTTTTCAATTTTTATAATTTTTTAAAAATTAAACATTCTTTGTGTTTGAAATAAAAATAAATAAAAATGAATAACATATACTTTACCTATCTCAAATTAAATATTTGTACTTTTTGTTTTCTAGAACGTTTTGTTGGTAAGTTCAAAAATAAAAATTAGAATAAAAAATAAAAATATGGAAAACAGAAGGAAAAAAAGAAACATGCAAAAAATTTGTATACAAAAAAAAAATCAGAACACCTAAAAATTCTTTAGAATTAAGATGTCCAAAAGGGATATACATTTTTATTTTTTGTTTTATTTTATTCCTCTTTTTGAAGTTGTCAAAAACGTTTTTGCTTTTTTATTTTGGAAAATAAAATATTAAAATTCTTAATTGGAGAAGTACAGATGCAATAAAGGAAAAACTTGATTAAATTGAGAAGTAGAGATGGAATAAAGTAGTTATTCCTGATTTTAAGAACATTATAAAAAAATTTTAAAAAACTAGAAAAACTTGATTAATAAAAGAAGCAATAAAGGAAAAAAGAGAAAAATAAAAAATAAACAAAAAATAAGAACGGCCCGGTTCCATGGCCACACGGAAGTCACTGCCCCCCTACGGAGCTCCATTTGTAAAATTGATAATTCATATCTTCTCTAATCTCTTGATAACCCCCCCCCCCCCCCCCCCCCCCCGCCAAGTCTCGACCCAAACTAATCACCCCACCTACGTCAATTGCACATCGTAAGTATAATTGACTTTAAAGTAAAAAGTTTTGACTTTATACTTACGAGGTGCAATTGATGTGGGTGAGGTGATTAGTTTGGGTCGGGACTTGACGAGGGGTTTACCGTGAGGGTTAGAGGAGGTATAAGTCATCAATTTTATGAACGGAGCTCCGTAGGGGGCAGTGGCTTCCGTGGCCACTGGAATCCAGTGGCCATGTATCCGGGCTCAAATAAGAAATGAGCACCAATGCCAAATATGATTTGAAAAATGGCAAATTATTTATGTACCTTAGATTCATGTTTATTTTATGGACCTTAGTGCATTTCCAACTTAAAAAAATGACCTTTTACACAGAAAGAAAATATTCACATACAATTCCATGAAAAATGTGAAAGGATATACATTTTAAATATGAATCTTGCGATCATGTATTTATCATACTTGGAAAATAGGCACCAATAATCTCTTTCTCCGCCAAAAAAATGGATAAAAAATGACCAAAAAGAATATGGAAATAGGAGATTTTTGAAACCACTAAGACTTTAAGAATAAGTTTTAAAAACAGTGGATATTAAAGCCTATTTTCTAAACCTGTATTGGTGTTATTTAGCTGAAAATAATTTAATCCTCCATAAATCCAAGTAAGCCATCCAGTCTTTCAAAAGAACAAGAAATCTTATACCTGCTGAATCGCTATGAAGGAGACGGAAAAGAGAGAAGCAGAGACGGCCTACGCGATGAAGAAGATGAATCGCACTTGGTAATCGCAGCAATTAGGGGTCGCAATTGGTGTAATGGACAAGGTAATTCGCGCCATGGGGCGGGTTTAGGTTTCGCCATTCCAAACATTGGTCTCAAATCGCTGATATTTCAAAATGTTAAGCCTTAAAGAGCCCCAAGTATTTAATACATACAAGCACGTTAAGTCCTGTGACTTGGGGCTTATGAATTAAATATGTTGCTTAAAACCTTTTCGAATGATCTGTTAATGTAGTGTGCCCCGAGTTGTGGAAGAAAGCCTTTCGACGAGACAGTTTCTTTGAGCATGTTTATCATTGTTAATTTGTGTAGGCTGCCTACGAAATAATGGATATTGAAGGTATTCAGTCACACCTCCACGCCTTAAGGCAGTTATATGGACTGTTACAAAATGATGAGGATGGCATGCCAAGGCTGACCGCAGAAACTGTAAGTTCTCTTTCATAATTTGCAACTCAGAGGAAAATGTTTGATCTTGAGACAAACTTTTAATCTTCATAGGGTTATAAAGGTAGTGTTTACTTCAATTTTTTCGTGCAATTTTCTTGTTCAATCTCATGACAGCTATTCATATTTTCTTCTCCTCAATTGGAAACAAAAACTTGTTTAGTCTTCCTGGTTGAAAATTGACTAACAAGACTTTGCTATTTCTTTAGAATGTGGAGAACACTGAATAACTGGATGAAAATTGACTAACAAGACTTTTTCACCGGGAAATGCCTGCCGGGGCTTATTTCTGATGCCATGTTTTTTTTGGGTGCAGTTGGACGACAAAGGAAAGCTTCTGTTAAAAAAGTTATTGGACAGTGCTACTGAAAGGGTATTTGAGGTTCATTCACAGGTAGTCTTTTTATTCCTTTGTAAGGATTCTTCAATCTACTCAAGAATAAAGATCTAGATGTTCCCTAGTGGGATCAGAAATCAACAACAGACCTAGTGTAATCCCACTAGTGGCTCTCTGGGAGGATAGGATGTACCCAAACCTTATATTACCACCATCCATGAAGGACAGAGTAACCACTAAGCCCAATGGGGTCAGGAATGGTAATATCTAAGTATTCATCTATGAACATTTCTGTATGATAATCCATATTTCTCTTATTTATTTTGTGTGCGTTTATGACTTTTGTTTACATATATTGCAGATCATAGCTCGTGAGGTTGATGCATCTCTGGCAAACAGTTCATTAAAAGTTGATGGCGTTGGTAAGCAAGAAAGTATGGTGGTAGAGGCACCACATTTAATCTTCTCCGCCTGTGAATCTGAAAACAGAAGGAAACGCTGCAGGATTTGCCAACGTCCCAAGACTGTGAAGCATTTTAAACATAATAGGAGAGTGAAATTCACTGATAATGGAAGCCAGAGCTCTATAAGAGTTACTCCATCACAGGATAAACCACGTAATCAAGTTAATCACATTTGGCAGAGTGATGATCAGGGAGAAGGATTTCGATCGCTTAACGCCCAATTCTGTTTTCCATCAGGAAGCAATGAAAGGGAAGATAAGAGTGGGATTTTTCTCAGTGGCGTTGGGTCTATTGTTTCTTCTTCAGCTAATTCCCCAGTGCCTGAGTTTATTAAAACAAAAGCTAAGCATGATGAGCATATTCACGAAACTGTGGGAAACAATTATTTGTCCAAACAAGTTTCAGAAGCCATCAAAGAAATTGAACTCCGCATATCGACCTTGCAGTTGGAGGCCAAATATGAGTCTGGCAATGCCATTGCTGATAAGTTTCTGCAATTGGATGTCCCTTCTGCTGTTAGGCAGACACAAGGATTGATCCCCAGTTTTGTGAATGAACCAAACAGCTCAGACCATGATATTGCACATCAAAAAACTCCAGATCCTAAGGGTTATAGATTCATTGAACGCCAAAAGGGGACATCAAATTCACTTTCTGCTATAAGAAACAAGGACCGAGACTCTGTGCCTCTGAACTTGAATACTTGGAAAATAAAATCTGCGAGGCCAACAATGCAGTTTATTGAAAACAAAAAGGGTTTGGCAAGTCATCACAAAACTATGAGACAGACTAGGTTGGGTTCTGAGCACAGTCAACTCACAGAGACCAGAAAGTTGGATAAAGATGTGATTCGATATGGAAACCATGGAAAAAGAAGGTACACAATGCAGGGATCTGGGGCTACAACATCGAGCTCATATTCAAGCCTGAGAAGCAAGCAGCGGCAGAAAAGCAGTTATGGTAGTAGTAGTAGTACAGAAGAAGACTATTCAGTGTCGGGCCAGAGCAGTTATCTGAAATATTCAGACGGATCGATTAACAGCAGCAGTTGCAGTGATAGTGGGCCCTACCGTTCACGTCGCATCACAAGAAGCCGTTATATGATTGACTCAAGCAGCGGTGAGAATGAGGTTTACTCATCATCATCATCATTGCCAAGCAGCAGCAGTGCTAGAAGCTTTCAGCAGAGGAGTTGTTCTACACGCAGAGGTGAGAGTGAGACATCCTCACAACTAGATTCTTCTTCTACCCATTCTGTTGATTCATCATCAAAGACATCCAGTCCTGTTAGGGTCCACAAATCTGCCAATTCAAAGAAAACTAAGAAGACACAAGTTGGGCGGTGGAAGAAGTTGAAGGACAAGCTAGGAATTATATTTCATCATCACCACCACCACCACCACCATCATAATGTCAACAAGAAAGTTCAGAATACTAGTAGTTATAATATAACCAAGGTAAATCACAAAGAACCTCCACCGAAGCTGCAAGGAAAGATTCCAAATTCTCAGAGAAAATATGAGGCCTTTGAAGAACAGGCAATGCAGAAGGTTGGAAAGAACAAGCAGGGCAGCAATTTTCAGACTCTAGTGAGGGGGCTGAGGCACGCCCGCCATTTGAAGAAACCAAAGCCACCAAAACACGGCGGGCTACCCTCCAAAAAGGGGACACATGGGAACAAGAAGGTGGTCAAGGCATCTCATTGGTGGCAGCTGTTGCGTCACCATGGAAAGCTGAAGAAGCCACCCGTGTTGCTCGATTCAAATGCTAAGAAAAAGCTCGCGAAAGACTTTTCTAAGATGAAGTGATGAGAGGAGGCAAACATGATGGTTAGGCATTTTATCATCCAGTAAGATCAACTCTTCTGGTATATTTATTTAGCTTCGGCATTGTTTGTAAAACTATTCAAAACAAACGAAACACCTACTTGCCCATTATGAACTCATATATGTAATTATCCTAGCTTGGTGTAAATATATATCCAGTGTACTGTAAGTTTTGCATTTTTTTTGTTCTGACGTGACATGAATTGTTGGATTAATAGCCATGGCCCAATGTACAAAAGCTTCCTCTATTTAACTTGCCTCGGATGTCTTAGACATCGAAATTTTCATACTTGTCCAATACTCGCTGTTTTTTAGGAATATCTCATAGCCAAGAAGAATATACTCCCTGGGTTTCTGAAAAAAAAAAGCGAGGAGAAGATTGAAGAATGAGTAGGGAGAAGAAACTGAGGTCAGACGATGAAGAATAAGAAAGAGAGGAGATAGGGAAAATGACTTCCTACAAAAATTCCGGACGTCAAATTCTGAACCGAAGCCTATTTTCTATTGACTCATATTTTCAATTCATGCCAAACAAGTGATAACGGGGAAAATTTTTCCCCATTCCCAAACATCAATTAACTTCAGCAATTACTAGCACTTTATATTTAGGTGCATCTGCGCGAGAGTGAATATTTTCTCCCAGAAACCCCAAATTGAAATTCCGAGTATATGGGCAAGAAATGGAGAAAGGGCTCATTGTTATTAACTTCCTCGATCGCTTCAAATTACATTACAATAACATATATAAAGGGAGATATTAAAAGGAGACTCAAATCAATTATTAGGTCCCCAACAGCTCAGATACATGACGGTTCTCAGAGACTCCTCGGAGCGCTTCAACTTCTCATCTCGCAGCTTGGCGGAGACGACAGCGGAGGGAGAAGGCAGCCTGGTGGCGTGCTGGGAGTAGGACCGGAGGTTGGATTTGGCATGCTGGTGGAGCAGTCTGAAAGCGTAGTTCCATCTGGCGAAGCCTTGGTCCTTCAGAGCCTCCACCGTCCCCACGCTCGCCGCCACGATCCACCTTCTGCTGCTGCTGCTTCCGAAGCTCATTCTTCTTCCTTTCTTCTAACTTTATATTGAATTGCCGGCTGCTGCGATAGTATTGGATGCGATCTGCGTGATATGGATGAATTTTAGATGGAGTTTAGTGGTTTTGATGATTTTGAAGAGTAAAAAGGAGGGAGGCTCTTATATATATACTCCATATGCTGCTTGGAAGAAACAAGGTGCAAAGTAATCAGTGTGCACAGAAACAGGTGGGTGGTTTCGCTAATGGATTTGGGGGGGGGGGGGGG